AAGACTGAGTGACGATTCCACGGACCATCGGCATTAACACTGGGAGCAAGACGGCTGAAGCATACGGGAGCAGTGCGGCTGCAGTGAGCTGCAGGTACTGGAATGCTCATCACTTTGCACATTACTCAAAGCTGCAGGTCACTCGTCAAGATGTCAAACGTTGACATTTAGACCAAAGAACAAACTGCAGGGCCTCGCGGTGCGCCAACGTGGGAATTTTGGACAATACCATTAACCAGTATTTTTTTGTCTGATATCATGCATACCGATAACCGGCAGATTTTTAAGTTCCACAAATCTGCAGTGTCACTGATGTCAGTGACGTTACTTCCTATGATCTTATGAATGTGTGTAGTAACCACATCATACAATTCAGGCAGTGAGGCATCAGTGAAGTAGCACCAACTTGGAAGTTTCTAAGCGGTGAACGAGCCGACAAAATCCTTCATCCTCCCCTGCGGAAAACGGTTAATCACCCAAAGCAATCTCCATTAATTTAGCAGCTCTGGGGCTGTTAACTTTGAATACTGATAAAGTCTAAATATCAACTGATATTACAGACCAAGACTGACACCTCAATGTCTTTATTCTTAAGTGAACAACGGCCAATACCAATATGTTAACCAAAGTATCATACTTCTCCACCTATAACAGATCTACCCTGTGCTTCAAAAAGGAAGATAAATGATGTTGAGAGCAGAAATAAGTTAAAGAGATACACTGGTGTTCTGTGGATCCCTCATATGCGGATCCAGGGTAAAAGACGCTCCGGGAACAAGGATTCGGAATAAGGAGGTGCTTCCATGTAGCGCCATTTCCGATATTCTGCAAACGTGCAAGAAATTCGTGAATCAGCCCACCTTGGCCAGGAAGCACCCACGTCATTCTCTCCCGTGCTTCTGGAACGACTGAGTCACAACGCAGTGCCTAATTAGCGAGAGTCTAAGCCTTAGGTGATCTTCCCGGGCTTGGGAAACAGCGGGGCCGACAGCCCCCCAGGCCCTCCCTCCTCCGCAGTGATTCCCACTGGCTGGCTCCGTTCTGACAGACGCTGTATCCCGCAGTTCAGGGTGCTACCCGGAAGGAAGGCCCCCCCAGACTCGCACAGCAGTCCTCCGCTAATTTCTCTCACCAAGTTTTTGGTTTTATACAGTGTTTCCACTGAACTGATTCGAGTTTATCTTGCTGTTAATTCTACCAAAAAAAGAAATGTAAAATAACAAGAATGCAAAAGAGCGATATGCTACAACCTAGTCCTCGACCCATCACCTCCCCGCAGAGGAAGTGTCATGGGAATGTAAATCCCGTAATGCAGCCGACGTCATTGATTCTAGTCCTGATTCCAAGGAAACCACCACTGAACAGCCACTCCCATCACAGCCCAAGGGCCCGGTCGGCAGGCCCCATGTCATCACGGAAACCTCTGCTGGGCCTCGAACACTAGTTAAAGGTGTGTAATTCAGCACCTTTCTCTGTATGGCTGATCCTTAACATTTAACAAATGATGTCTTGACCTCAGCTGACTACCATAGAAAAACAAAATAATACATATTCATCTTTCAGTTTTAAAATGCAAGTGTGCATCACACCTCAGCAATCAAGGGAGCAAAGCCTCAATCTCTGTCAATGCCCATTAAACTAAATATTAATCCATTTTGTTAAGGAACAGAAATAATGCTAATTGCCCATATTTAACGAATAAATGTTGCCCTGACATCTTTCGCCTGAATAGTGTTCAGAAAAACTGAAAATATTTGGATGAAGCAGAAAAGTCCTTTAGAGGCACATTGTACTAACTGAATTTTTAGATAATAGCTTATGATCCTCAAAAGGCATAATATATCCATCATAATAACGGTAGAAAATCTTTTATATGTTCCTTTAAGTCTGATGCCCACTGTCATCATTTTGCACGGATATCTGGATTTGGGAAACGATTTCCACATTCTACAAAAGGTCAAATTACAGTATAAACGCCTACATTGATGCTTTGATGGGCTTTCCTCTAAAATTGATTCCAAGATGGCTCATAAATAAAAACCTTAAGAACAGTAAGAAGTGGGGGGTGTACAGGTCAGTAAGTTTAGGGATCGGACCACACACACACACACACACACACGGCTGAGATTTTGAATCTTATGGCTGCCATGGTAACTATATTACCACTGCCCTAGGCCTTTAACCCCAAATGCTCCAGGGGCACTGGGCACCAGTTGACCCTGCTCTCTGACCCCCTATTCTCCTCATTTGTACATCAATTTAGAGTAAATCATCCCCTAGATAAATGTAATGCGATTCTACGCACTAACGAGCTGGTATTACAGCAGCGGCTCAAAGACTGAACGGCGCAGAAGCATCTCTCTGCTCATCACCTTCGACCCCTAAAGAGGCACCATGGCAACAAGAATGGAGTGCATCTGGAACAGAGGGCCCAGTAAAACACCGGCGAGCGAAATCCCTAAGACCATTGCGGAGTCAAGGTCGCAAGGGTCCAGAGGCCCTGCAGAGACAGCCTTTCCTAAGGGTTGGGGCACTTCTGTCGTGGGCCGTATCCCAGGGTGCACCAGGGCTACAGTATCCTTCAACTGAACCGTTCCTGCATTCTGCATCATATTGTCACAGGGTAGACAGGAGGCACAGGACGGTCAGAGGATCACTCGTGTAAGTGTTATTATAAATAGCGGCCAAGTCACATCAGGTTAACTAAATTGGAAAGCAAAATCAAAAGGCTAATTAATTGCTGATGGGGGGGCGGGGGGGTGATGGAGAAAGGGAGAACCGCAGTACCGCAGTATAGAGGCCGGGCGTCCCCTAAACTCTAGCCTCATTTTACACGGTCCAGAGTTATGCGTACTCTTTGGTGAGGAATTAAGGGAGGCCTACATCAGTTAACGACAGAGAGAGAGGCACCTCAGTCTACTGTGTGCACTTCAGCTTCCCCAGCCAGGCCTGTCACAAGGGGCCGGGGCAGAGTGCTCTGGGGGGGGGGGGGCACACCACAATGGAGACTCAGGGGCAGTCAGTGTGTGTGTAGCTGACTGAGACAGTGTGTTTGCATGTGTGTGTATGTCCAGGTATACATTACATTGTAGGGACAAAATGTCCTCACAATGCCATAAAAACCTGTTGTTTTGACGTTGTGGGGACCATTTAGCCAGTCCCCATAAACGGAAATTAAATTTTAGAAAAATCTGTGACTGCAATCAAAAAACTAAAATGCCAAAAACTTGCATTTTGTTTGGTTATTTTTAGTTAAGGTTATGGCTGGGCAGGGGGTAAGGTTGACATTGTTGAGATTAGGGTTCTACCCATAGAAATGAATGGAGAGTACAGATTTGTGTGTGTATGTGTTGCTGATTGACACCAGTATTTAGCTGGGTATACAGACAGAGGCCTGTTGTTATGGGGATACCCACAGCAGGGAGGAAAGGAGGAAGAAAAACAAAAAACTGACTTTAAAAATCTTTAAGCAGCTATAGCTCTAAAGAGAACCACCGGAACTCGTCCATCCGCCCCCTGCGAGTGAGGCCCCGCCCCCTGCGAGTGAGGCCCCGCCATACTCCTGTCACCCCTGGCCTGCTTCGCACTCGTGGCAGGCAAGAGCGGATCGGGGGGTGATGTGGCCCCTCCCAGCCCCACCGGTTACCCCATTCCTAATGAGCATCGAGAGCTCTGGCATCCAACCCCAGGTCCATCTCTATCCCAGGCTGTTCGGCATGGGAAACAAGGCCAGACACCTCCGGCTTGAACTGCGGAAGAGCTGGGAGAGCTTAGCCACAGACGAGAGTCTACTCTCTGAGCCAACATGCATTTTAAAGTATTGAAGAAAACTCAAAGCTGCACTCACCCTCCGAATATTAGAGAGGAGTGAAAAGCGGCGTGTTTATTAAGCGATGCACTGAATTCAATGGCAAACAGATGGCTGAAAAATTAAACTAGATCGAGCTTTTCAATCATGAAGTCTAACACGCCATCGATGGCCCAGCCAAATGGATTTGTTTGGAGGCCGGAGAATGCAGAGCTCAAGGTCACCTCGACTTCGGCTCGTCCACAACATCTGAATCCAACTCTAAAGCCATCAGAGAGGATGGCGTGTTCTCTATATTGGAGGCAGGTTGTCTTCGAAACGAGAACACTTAACCCCCATCCAATTGAGGGATCGAAAAGTCGGCGTTACACGGCCGCGGCTCGATAAACTGCAGGTGCTCTGTGCCGCCACGTCGATCAGCCGTTTCGCCGGGGTCCAGGCAAACAGAGGACTTCCTTAAAGGGACCTTTCAAATATTACCTCCACAGATGCCGCTGAACTTCCTTGCTGGTGGGTGACAGAAAAAAAAAAAGTCTCATTGGTGGCTCGGAAATGCAAGTGGCTTTCATCTGGAGGACAAACGGAGCGTGCAGGGTAGCCAGATGACACGCTCCATTCCGAAACCTCACTCCACTTTCATATGATCTGATGGTATCATTCCATGGAATTCTGCACCGATCCCCTGCACTCAGCAATGGACAGACATGGGGAAAAAAGCTTGAACATTCTGGCAGAGTCGACAGCCATCACGCTTACAAGCACATGCTCGAGTCAATCAACATCAAGCCCCCAGTAATGACACAAGAGAGGTTCGCGAAGACCAAACGCCCCAGCGTCAATCGGATCCCGGGGGATGTCACAGCCAGAGTCCGCACACAGGTAGTGCCAGTGAAGCGCGTTAACAGCCCTAGGCTTTGGCAGTGAAGCACTCATCCTGTTGTGACAGAATAATGCAGGTCATCGACGTGCGCAGGGCTGACAGTGAGGAACGACCAGATCCAAGGTCTCCGAGTTCAGGCTAACGGCAGCCCGATGCACTTCACAGTAACTACACTTTCACTGCATGACTCATTAACGAGTGCCAAACCTCCACAGCTTGCAGACAATGCAGGAGTGAATCACCATTAGCTGAGGAAATGGGGAAAAACAGTGGTACGTTCCATACCGTCCCGCTCCAAACCGTCATTCTTACCTGCGCTCACGGTGCGGGATCGGAGCCTGCTGCTGCCGGGAGATGAAGGTGGTTCCCCAAACTGGGCTGCTGTGGCTGTTCCTTAACCAGCCCATAGGGGGCGATGATGAGTATGGCGTGCTGCGGAACCCATGATCCGACTCCGTTTCTGCAGTAAGAGAAGAGGCTGAGCTACCCATAGCCCCCCTTGTCAGTGGATGTCACTTGTGGGTAAAGCCTACTTCCAGGATTCTCCAGTGCAAACTATACTTGACGCAGTTTGTCCGTGTGTGGGCGGCTAAAAATGTCAAAGGTTAAATGATCCCATAGGGCAGCGCCTTTCAAGCACTTTCGGTCATGCTAAAAGGGACTTGATTCAGACAAAAAGCTGCATTTCCACGGAGGAGCGCTTTATGTTACAAGGGTAATTGTGTTTACAATGATCTCAAAAATCCATTAGCGAACAAAGGTAGCTAAAAGATTAGAAGTGAAATTTTAAAATTTTCAAAGGGCTGTTATACAAAAGACTGTAAGGAGACGCTGACCCTCCTAAAACCAAGGCTTCCTTTAAAATAGCTATAGACTATAATTAAACATCAGGGGAGAGGGCGATTCCAGGACATTAAAAAATGCTCCTTTCGCATTTTCATCAAGAAAGCAGGTCTGCTGAGTGAGTGAACTCCAAATAAGGGCATGGCTGAAGTCATTTATGTCAGTCCTTTGTTCCTCCTGTCACCCAGAGGAACTGTCACCTATTTCTTCTATGAAAAGGTCAGGTCAAAGCATCTTCTTGACTAAGCAGGCGCCTGCAGTGAAACCAACAACAGTATCGAGTCTGCACCTGGAAAGGGTATAAGAATCATCATCCTCAATCCACACCATTAAAGTCCACTGGAAAGCTACACTGCAGAGGGGGTGCTACTCTGGGTGGGGCGAGTTCAGCCAGACAGACTACGGGGCTCCACTGGCAGACATCACACTGAGAGGATGAGGATAATGATGATGACGAGGACAGTTTTTTGGGAACATTCCGACTTGATGAATTGTCACGAATAAAATCCCAAAACACTGGGCCAGTTGAGGATTTTTTTTTTTTTCTGAGGATGATGTTTTAATGTCCACAAAAAATGCGTAACAGAGCACAAGGGACATTAAATACACATGCTGGATAATCCTGTACAAATTCAGTCCTGCAATGCTTGCGAATATTCTTGCTGCATATGGTTTGTTTTGTTTCTTTTTCTGGAAAAGCAGCATGGAGAACAGTTGACACAGGCTGCACACAGACGCGAACTTAAGAGCAGACAGCGCTCTCAGCAAGATGCCCGGCTTGTAGCCACAATCCTGCACTTTCCCGCACTTTCCCTTCTTCAGAGAAGTCGGGTGATCCTCTGGATGTCGGTAAGGAGTCACGCCTCGCCAACCTCGGCCAGACTAAGTAGCATCTGCAGAGAGCCAGGGGTCCCAGGCCACCAGACTTGCAGATCAGCTTGAATATGCCCTTAGTCTGGTGGCGATCTGATAAGATGCTCCCAACTGACCGGAAACATTCGGCTCCAAAAGCAGGACAAGAACAGGCACGGAAATTTGGGACAAAGATTTACATACAGGCCTGTAAAACTGACAAAGGACTAAAATGGTATAGGTCTCCTGATGATTTTTTTTTTTCTTCAATAAAATGATCATTAGAAAAAAGGAAAAGCCCAACTTCGTTAAAGTTCACTGCTTCTAACCAGTATGGATTTATGCATTTTCCATATGGAATATTGTAGTTATTAGCCTGCCAAACATGGGTGAAATAGCCGGTACTTCGCATGCATCTTTGTCGCTTTTTGGCCGTCCCTCGCAGCTGCCGCAGTGGATTAGTTCACATACCGCGTTTCTTTCCCCCGCCGTCGGTAACTTGAGCTTTACCGGGAGGAAGTGTGCTGGGGGGCGAATGTGCCGGAAAGTAAGAGATACCGGGGTAGGGGGGGGGGAAATCCATAAAAAAAAAACGCACAATGGAGACACGGCGGACGGGTTCGGTAATATATAGCACTTAAATTTAACACACTCCGGTTCGGCTCTGGAGCAACTTCAGAGGCAGTGGGGAGTAAAAATAGACACTGTCCCACCGCATAAAAAAATACTGGGTCGCGAACGGAGGCATAAAATGTCAAACGGGTGTCATGCCTGCGCCGTGCCCTGTCCGCCGGCGGCAGATCATCACAGTCTGTAAAGGTGCGGCTTCATTTGAGCCCGATACGTCGTTTTTCATGACACCGACGTGAGTATGTGCACAAGATACGCCGGGATCAGCTGCTCACAGCAAAGCAGGCGACTCGAAGCCGGTAGATGACAGGACTGAAGGCGTCGGATGCGCATCGGCGGTCACTCCAGGCGATCCTAACCGATTCACCATCAGAAATACTCCATGCAATTAATGCGATTTATTTTGGCCTTTAGCTCTCAGACATGAGCACTTGTTTAACGAGTTTTGAGGAACAGCCGGAAAATGCACAGACCGTCCGATTTATCTTTCTATAGTATTTTCCAGCAGCTCGGTGACTTGTCATTAGTCAGTTTATAACCACTGTTCATATCCCGGTATCAATATTTCATGAAGTCAACAGCTGTGCAATATGCTAATCGAATGCATGTCCTATTTTCAAATAAAAATGTACGATGATTTAGAAAAGCACCAAACTCACCACCGTCAATAGCGCATATTTACCGGTACTCCTAGTACGGTGTTGCATTTCCAGTCGGATCCCAATAAAAGCATCGACCCGGGTCAATAACGAAACAATTTCATGAACTCAATCCTATGCCATACGTGTAAAAATAGAAATGCATAAAATCACTGCGAAGAGCAACTAATGCGCGCCGATCCTTAAAAATGTTTATGACACATTGCCTCGGCTGCTATTGCAGTGTATTTTTCGCCTTCTACAGCCAGGTACTTTCTTCTAGTTCCCAGTGCTCAGAAAGCCGGATCTCCCACTTCGGCCCTCAAAGCGCTCCGGAGTCGTACGGCTTCCTCCAGCAATACGCAGCTTCTTCCTCGGACGCAACGTGCGTCTGTGCGCCGGGGCCGTCTCCATCACATCGTATTCTGATGCGGCTTTCGTGGGCTTAATTCTCTCCCTCCCTTGCTTCTCTCTCTCCCTCACTCTCTCTCGCCCTCGCATAAGTGCAGCAGGCGCAGATGTAAATCCGTCCGTTACATCGGATGGCTGGGAGTCATGTGAGCGCATGCGCCGTGGCCGGCTTTTTTCAGAACGGTGCAGAGCAAGGCCAGTCACACATGCACTGCGCGGGGTCTCGCCTTCATTCATTCGGACCGAATACTTTCGTCATGCCACCATGCCAAAATAAATGTCCAATCCTAGTATTAACCATTATTTACCATCACCTCCGCTGTTGGAAACCATTTTTTCGGAACAGAAACAGAACCTGCTATTTCAAGGAAATTATTCTGCTGCCCTGCGATGGAACAGAGCGGATATAATACAGTATTCATCGGATCACCATTTCAAACATATCTACGTTGCCTAACGCCTCCCTTACGAATATCCGCAATGGAAAAAGTATATGTGTATAAGCTGATGGCTGTCCTGCAGACTCATGCAGGCATGAAGAACCAAAACCAGTATTTCAGCCTAATTAACATTAATGATCACAAATAAATCGGAAGACGCGACGTCATCGGAAGACTGACTCATCTGTAATTCTAACAATTACCATCTACGACTGCACAGTGACATCACGGGCACTTCGAGACCCATCATGAACCGTCGAGCCTGTGAGACTTGTCAGGTCACTTTGACAGAAGACTGACTGTCGTGATGTTCCGGTGAATAACCAACAACAGCATGAAAAGCAAACGTACACAATTCCTGTTGCTGGCAATGACGTTTCAGCGAGCAATAAAACCAAACAATGGAATGCCAATAACACATATAATTGCACTTCAACCATTGCTCCACCGATGTATGGTAGTTTGATTATGAAATATAAAAGTATTTACAAGAATCTACATCGCACAATTATACGCGAGGAAAAGGGAAGCGTTGATGAGATGATCCCGAATGATTTGGCAGGATAACACCTGTTGCCCTCCATTAAGCAGCGGAGCCCCGATTCGCACGCATCCCTTCCGCGGCCTCAGGGATCCTCAGACTCAAGTCATTTGCTAGGGCGCGATCAATTAAAGCGGCGGAAAGCACAGCCGACGTTTCACTCACTGACATTAATTAAGGACATTTATGCTAAGTATGACCAACATTTGCATTAAGCGCCAGAAGATTTGTGAATGGACGAAAAATAGCAATTAAAGTATTACGCTTGTTATACTAAAATTATTTACGAGATTCCTTTTTAGTCAGCGGCTCTTTGGTACTTCCATAAATGGAGTGCAACGGAAAGCAATGCTGATATGTATCACAGTGCAATCCAATCAGCATACTTGCAGCAAGAGATTTCTGCTTTCTCCCTGACGGAATTACCCCGGTTTCAAACACGTCACACGAAAGGACAGTCATCAGCCCATGACGGGTACATGTACGCTGCAGTATACAATGCTAAGTCAGGTGTGTCCCTAAATTCCCACAGGGTCTCCCGTGTTCTTTCATTTATCACGACCCATTCCCCTGACATTGCTTTATAAGTTAATTGCAGCTTGCTTGTGTCGGATGGTGTTTTACATATACAGCGTACCGAGTGGCACCGTGATGAGAACCACGGAAGCTTTCTGCCCGACTGGCTGCTATTCCGCATCTGACTGCCAGGTGGTGCTAAAACGCGAAGTAATTCTTACAGCCCCGCACATGTCTGTGCTGAATAGACTCAGAAATTCCTAGGCTTTTGGACAGCTACAAACTGGAGGACCCTATAGAGTGTCTAGATGATTATGGAGAAAAGATGGGGCACAGCCAAGGTGGAAATGAATCCCCTAATCCTACAATACAACCCAGAAGACCATCACACGGCCTATTTCAGAGATCTGTTACAGTAAAATCCAGTTATACCGGACTTCAAGGGACCTGGCAAAACAGTCCGTTATATCCAAAGTCTCTTATATCCAGAGTTGCTGTAAGCCCGGAACACAACTACAGGACACCATTTACTCATGCCACACCTCAGCAGACACACTTGTGGTATAGATTATTATATTGTACATGTAGTAATCAAACTTTACCTGACCAGATGCGTGACTATTAACGTCTACGTACGTATCTGCGCTGGATATCACCGGCACGCCACGCGCCTTGTAAGCGGAGCCTGCATGTGCGTTATAGCCGAACAGAACTACAGCTAAAAGTGGCCCTGGGGACCAAATTGTTTATCCGTTATAAGTGAAATTCCGTTATATGCGAGACTGCTATAACGGGATTTTACTATATAATCAAATCAAGATATGAACTGAAGTGGTTATTAAATTCTGAGACGCATGGTACACTTGCCAACCACAAAGCATCTCCAGTGCGTATGAATTGTAATGATATTACATTTTGATAGCTTGATATTATTGTGATATCTTGTCAGTGTCTAGCTGTGCCCAGCTAAAACAGCCAGCCTGACATACCTAATTGCAGTCATACTAATATCCAAATACATAATTAAAATGAATGACTGATAATTAATAATTAAATAATTCAAAATTTGGGATGGTGTCTAATATTTATTTTTATTTAGGAGAGATGAGAAAAGATGGTCACCAATGCATTAATCTCTAATTTAACCTCTAACTTTTTAGGTTACCTGTACTGTCACAATAAAGAACGTGTATGACAATTACTTACATTACTGAGCTTGAAAATAATGAACCGAACTGGAGTTTATCATGATCTAAAGCAGTGTTTCCCAACCCCGACCCACGGACAGTATATATTTTTGCTCCCTCCCAGGTCCCTGCCAACTCAGTGCAGACTAGGAGCTGGAAGGGAGCAAAAACCGAGGACCAGACTGGGAAACACTGGTCTAAAGATATATTTTAAGCAGCTGACAGTCTTTCTTCCATGAGCATGACAAGAACACACAACAAACATGCCTGAGTTTTCTGGCTCACCATGCCAACATCACATATCATTTACGCGCTACAGTGAATTAATTAGCTGCAATTTTTCTTAATAAGAGGTGCAGATTTCCCATAAATTTACTATCATGCAATACAAACATATGCCAGTAAAGTGATCTCAAAAAAACAGGTTCATATAGTAAAAGCATACAGGTTCACAGGTACGGCATGTGTGAATCTCCCACGTATCGTGACCAGTTGTGGGCAGGCTGATGTGTTATATAGCCTTTTTGGTAATTACCCATTTTTAGCTTTGACCCAACTGACACTTTTAGACAGGCATATACTGACATCGAGCTGCTGTTGGTTCAGTCCAGTAGGTAATACTGTGCAGTGGGCCACCACGACAATACTGAAGTGCTCAAAGGCACACGTGTGTTATTCAATAAAGAAAAAAAAACACAAACAATGTTTATTCTAGAATACAGAGCAAAAATATTGCATGCCACAAGTGTGGATTGTTTTACAATACTCATGCATTCAAAATTTGGTGCTGTGGTTGAGCACACAGTCAGTCATAATCGAATTCAGATTAATTACTGCTGACGGTAAACCTAGAAGACATGGACATCCTGGGAAATTCAGGGGCCCGAGCACCTGTATGCTCAGCTGTATCCTTTACACTCAATTAATCTATTACTGCGTCCCTGTGCAAATCTAAACTCTCCATCAAGGTCACAAATGACGTCACAGTAATGGGCCTGATCAGCGGGAAGAATTGCACGTGCAGTTCTTACATCGCTAGTCAGCTAGATTAAGATCAGGCGGTATGATAGTTAAGGTTTACCCAGGTGACATGTTTATGGAAAGCCACAGCATAAACGGTCACCCTATAGCTACTTTTTAAATACGGGAAAATGTGAGCTGGTCTTTCTGAATGCAGGGCTGTCTCGGTCGCCTGAACCTAGGCGGTTACACAGCTACCACTAAGCACTAACACGGCCCTTTATCATGGAGATCTTGTGAATGTGTCAGACGCTTATTCATCTGGTCGAGCTCAGGCAGTATTTATAAAGCAAAAAAAAAAAAGTTTCTCGCAAATCTGTCTAGGAGTGATTTAAACAGCAAGGATGAAAATGAGAATGCATGTGGCGCTGATGCAAAAGAAGCTGAGGTGAAGTATAAAACGATTTGTAAACAGATATTAGATACGGAGCTCCTAAGAGGTCAGGGTGGGAAAATATTTTTTTGAAATAGTTTTGCAATCCTACTACACTTTCCTACTTGTTATCTGCTGCAATGTGATGGCGTGGACACACCTAAATAATACAGACATGTCCTGTAAAGTGTGCTTTAAGCATTAAACTATGGGGCACAATTTACACCATGTAACTTTCATACTATGTGGTTTTATATGTATTTTTTTATAATTGCACAGTGTCCATTCACCACAAGTGACTTTAAGCAAGATAGCTGGGCTATTGAGCGTGAAATGCACAGATACAAACATTGAAATATAATACACACATTGAAAGATATTACAGCTGGAAAACTGCATATAAAGCTAACTTTACCGCGATATTGAAGTTCAGGTTTAAATTGGAACCCACTTTCTGGAATATTTCAGTATAGATCCCCCCATACACCATCAAGCAAGAATACCAGGGAGGTATACCCAAAAGTGGTTCCGATTAAGGGTAAATCAGAGCAGAGATACCTTAGTCACCATTTACAGAATCCTAGGCAAGCTTTGCAACGGCAGATGGGGTCCAAAGATAGAGACAGTTTTGACACCTGATTCCTGGTGGACATTTTGGAGATAGAGAGCAATCATTTCCAAATTAACGATTAGTGGTGACAGACAACACAAACTCTTTACCTCCACATCTCTTCCGGAAATATGTCTTTACGGCTCAAAAAAAAAAAAAAAAAAACAACAACTTGCAAGCTAGTACAAAATGAAGATGTTTCCTCACTCCACGCTGATTTGGCCTTAGATCTCAGCAGGCCCGTTCCCCAACCTCCTTCCAAGGCAGGCAGTCNCACACACACACACACACACACACACACACACACACACACACACACACACACACACACACACACACACACAAGGGTGTCTGTTCACACTGCAAACTTTATCTTAACCAGCTGTGGCGGCTGTGAATCACTGAGCTCTGGCTATGACAGAAGCGACTGTTTGCAGTTGTCAGATTCTCTCTCACCCAGCTCTTCCTTTGTAGATTAACATCTGGGATAAGGCTTTATTCAGTAACAGTCATTCTTATTCATCCAAATATCATGCTACATATCACGTCACAACAGCTTTCACTTCAGCAGTGACAATCAAAATTAGCCACTCTCTTGCTTCTCTCAGTTTTAATACTAATTATTAAATATAAAATATTCTGGGCTTAAATCAAAAGGTGATTAAACCATGCTCCAGTTTTTTATTTTTTATTTTTTAAGTAAAATCTTCAATTTGGGAAAACGAGAACTATTTGAATATGGTCACAAATGCTTATTATTTCTGCAGAAATAAAATGTTTGTGGAAAAAAAAAATCTGTCTGTATATGACATTAAATATTTGCAAATTGGATGTTTACTGAAAACAATAGAATGAGAGCATATTA